CATGGTTATACCATTGGTGCAATGCCAAGACTGGAACTAATATTTCTGGACTACATGAACATATTGTTTTCATAATCACAGGAGAGGATTATACAAACTATAGTAGCCAACATCTCCTGTGTGCTTACTTTGTTCATAGTATGGCAGATTGTTGCAGGAATAACCCATAATGTGCCCATGTCTCTTTGTGTCTTTTCCTTGGAATTATCCCCTCCTGTACTGCATCTGACCTTGGCCATATGGCTTGCTTTTGCCAATGGAAAAGAGTACACTTGATGCAGAGAGAGGCTAAAGAGGGCTTGCACCATGGGCTTTCTTTGTGCTCCTGATTTCCTTGAGACCCACCACATATGGATAGGATTAGGGTAGTCAGCTGAGGACTTGTGCTCCTATCATGCTGTCATCAAGGTAGCCAGCACCGACAGCCAGAACTGTCATTCAGGCATGTGAATGAGGCCATGCTAGAGCAACTAGTGCATAGTCCATTCATTAACACCCTGCAGCCACATGAGTAAATCTGGGTGAAACCAGCAGAGAACTGTCTTAAGCCCAGCCCAAATGTTGATTCACAGAATTATGAGGTTTGCTTTGCAGTCCAAGTAAATTGACACATCCAGGTATTGTGCTAAGCAATTCCTATTCAATATGTTATCTAATCTTCTCAACACCCTTGTGCTTTAGCTACCATTGTTATCCTTGTTTTTATATATGACTCAATGAGGATAATTCAAGTGGCTAAGATGGCATAGCAAGTAACATACAAATGCCATCCTAGGGAGTGTGATTCTGGATGACATGCTCATAACCATGCGATTTCCTTAATGACCTAGGAGATACTTTATGGCACGAGTTGTCATTTCTTATTCTTGGCATGGAAGGCCCTAGGGCATTGGTTCTCAACCTTCATAATGCCGCGTCCCTTTAATACAGTTCCTCATGTTGTGGTGACCTCCAATTTCATTGTTACAAATTGAACATAATTAAAGCATAGTGATTAATCACAAAAAGTATATGTAATTATATATGTGTTTTCCGATGGTCTTAGGCGACCCCTGTGAAAGGGTCAGGGGTCGCGACTCACAGGTTGAGAACCGCTGTCCTAGGGGAAGCTCTGCCCTGGCACTCAACCAAGCTAAGGGATTCTAGATATGTTTGTGTTTTTTAAAAAAAAATATTTTTATTGATTTCAGAGAGGAAGGAAGAGGGAGAGAGAGATAGAAACATCAATGATGAGAGAGAATCATTGATTGGCTGCCTCCTGCACGCCCCCCACTGGGGATCGAGCCCACAACCTGGGCATGTGCCCTTGACCGGAATCGCGCCTGGGACCCTTCAGCCAGCAATCCGACGCTCTATCCACCGAGCCAAACCGGCTAGGGCAATTATGGATATATTTGCAAAAATAAATTCGTGCGTATCAAAAAATTATGTTTCCTATATGAAGCCCATTTTTTGCAAGCTTTGAGGGTGTTTTTCCCCATTACAGTTATATTCACAGCTGAGTAAAAAACTTATAGCAGGCTGAGGGTCTGAAGTATAGAGAAAGATATGAATGATAAGGGAAATTGTGAGGAGAGAGAAGTGAGTCAGCACACTTCCCATTCCTCTTACTTTGGATCTGCAAATGCTGTTTCCAATTGATGACTTCTGGCAAGCCAAGCACTTCCTGACAGTTCTTGGGGTCCTTGGAGTAGATTTGGTAAGTATTGGTGTAGTGATCAAGGTCATCTACCATGTCCTGTTTGCATTGGGAAAAGCAGAATCAACCAAAATATTTGTATTTTGTGATTACAATACCCGTTTTCAGTGTTCCATTATGCTCTGATATTTTTAAATATCAAGTGTTTTGTTAGTGTATAACTTTTATTGAGGAATTTTTTATGTTATGAAGTCAAGTCAAGGACTTCCTTATTCAATTCATATTAAAAAATTTCCTGAATAATACTATTCTGAACTCAGCTCTTGCTTTAAAATTTCAAACCAAAATGACCCATTTAGAATTTAACATTTCCTTCAAAAAGCAGAGGACAGTCAGACTTTTAGTAAAATGCTTTTTGTTCATGTTATGGTTGTAAATGTGTTAGCTCCAATGGCTTCAGTAAACAAAAGCAAAACAAAACAAAAACAAAGTCACTTTTTGTTCTCTCATGATATTTAAACAAATCAGATTAGGGAAATGTTCACATTCTACCATGCTATGCAAATTCTTAGGAACAGGCAGATGCAATTGTCAGAACTTTCTAAACATCAATAATGATTTTCTAAATAAAGATGCAACATTTTCAAAACTAAAATCAAATAAAGTATTTAGCTAGCACTTAAAACTCAAGTAGAGAGTAAACCGACAGTGAAAATCTTTGGCCAAAAATATAAATCTTGCTGTAGACCAAAGATTTCTACAAAATGTGGGCTCTGAACATGTCTCTATCAAAATTGATGGAGGTAACAGACTTGAATACCCACCTATGAATGATGAAACAAAAAAAGTTATAAGATGAGTTAGTTCGGAGGATCTAATGTACAGCATGGTGATTGTAGTTAGTAATACTGTATTATATACTCTTTTTTAAATTTGTTAATTGATTAAGATATTACATATGTGTCCTTATCCCCCCATTACCCCCCTGATGCCCCGACTCATGCCCTCACCCCCCTGTTGTCTGTGTCCATTGGTTAGGCCTATATGCTTGTATATAAGTCTTTTGGTTGATCTCTCCCCCTTACCCCCACCCTCCCCTACCTTCCTTCTGAGGATTGACAGTCTAATCGATGCTTCTCTGTCTCTGGACTGGACATTGGCCCCGTATCAGGTATATAATTGGTGAATAAGTTTTTCCCTGTAAATGTTGGAGATTAAACCCTTATTGGTGATAACATTGGCAAATATGTTCTCCCATGCAGTGGGCTTTCTTGAAAGTTGCTAAGAGAGAAAATCTTAAATATTTTCACCACAAGAAAGAAATAGTCATTATGTATCATGATGGAGGTGTAAACTACAACCATGGTAATTATCATTTTGCAATACACGTGTGTACCAAATATACACATTGCACATCTTAAACATACACAATCTTATATGTAAATTAACTCTCATAAGATGAAAAACTTTATCTTTAAAACTGTGTTTTTGAAAGTAGCTCAAATAATACTTCTCATTGAGGTTTTTATCAATAATACAGTCTTTTTCCCCCAAATTATTTGATTTGATGAAATATGTTTGTTTTGTTTTTTACCAATTTTACTTCTGTAGAAGTTATATACAAGTTTAATATTTTAATGTTAATAAACTAGAGGCCTGGTGCACCAGTGAGGTCTCTCAGCCTGGCCTGTGGGATCGGGCCAAAACCAGCTCTCCGACATCCCCCGAGGGGTTGCGGATTGTGAGAGGGTGCAGGCCAGGCAGAAGGACCCCACCAGTGCATGATTGGGGCTGGGGAGGGACGCGGGAGGTTGGCCAGCCAGAGATGGACCCCAGGAGGGCTCCAGAGCATGTCTGGTCCATCTTGCTCAGTCCCAACCGTCCAGACCCCAGCAGCAAGCTAACCTACCAGTTGGAGCATCTGCCCCCGGTGGTCAGTGCATGTCATAACAAGCGGTTGAGTGGCCTTAACATATCATTAGCATATTACACTTTGATTGGTTGAACATACCACTGTACACTTAGCATATTAGGCTTTTATTTATAGGATTTTTAGTTTTGAGTTTTGAAATATTTTAACTATTTAATTTCATTAACTTTTAAAAATTATCACAATATGTAACCAACAACTACAATCATGTCATTTGGCTCTAACATTCCCCAATTCTCTGTGTTGTTTTAGACATTATGTCTCACAATTTGTAATTTGTTTGCTTTGGATGAAATCCTGTCCTGACCCTCTATAAAAACACACACACAACCTTATTCATCATTGACATGCAGTTTTGGTAAATTTTCCACCAGGAAGCATTTCTGATCCTTTCTCTGCAACCTCTACTACATATAATTTTTTAATGCCCTATTTTATTGACTTTATTGATGACAGTTGGTTAAAATACCATTCAGCCTCTAAAGGGGAATGCAGTATCACAAGGAGAAGTTGTGAGTTAGCACTAGTGAGTTGGTATGGTTTCAAGGTTGATATTTTTAAAAGATTGAAAATAATTTTTCTCCATAGGTTAAGAGTTAACAATGGAACTAGGGTTTGATTCACACCAATAAAGATTTCGAGTCTGAGAAATGTTGCTTTAATATCTTTAACAAAATATCAGCCTTTTGTCTATGCCCTCAACATAATCTTACATTAGCACAATATTCCATTGGGTGCCTCTCTTCCCATAAACTAGAGGCCAGAAATAATGGAATACTATGCTGCTGTAACAAAGTAGAAATTCTTACCATTTGCAACAATAAGGATGGAACTGGAGAGCATTATACTAAATGAAATAAGCCAGTCATAGAAAAATAAATATCACATGATCTCACTCATTTGTAGAATATAATGAACAACATAAACTGAGGAACCAGAATAGAACCAGAGTCATAGAAGCATCGAACAAACTTTACCTATGTAGGAGTGTGGAGGGTAAGGGGGTAAGAGATCAACCAAAGGATTTATATGCATGCATATGAGCAAAACCAAGAGACACAGACTGGGAGTGGGGAGGGGAAGAGGTCATTGTGCTAGGGGTGGGGGCGGCTGGGGAGAGGTCAATAGGGGAAAAGGAGACTTATGTAATACTTTAAACAATAAAGAATTTAAATTAAAAAATGAAATAATGAAGGGTGCTTGGTGTTCAGCATAACCAGGATTCTGTTTGGGGTCCTGTCTTAAAAATAAATTAAAACAATGAGTGAGTATGAAAATGTCTCCTGTATAATTTTAATCAGCTTTCCACCTGTTACTTCCTTTCATAATAAAGTTTATTTTCCAATTATAGTTGCTCTTCAATATTATTTTATACTAGAGGCCCGGTGCATGAAATTCATGCATGGGTAAGGTCCCGAGACCTGGCTGGCAATCAAGGCCGATATGTGGGGCAACAAGTGGGGCAATCAGGGGGCAGCAGTAGCCTGCTTGCCAGTCAGCACCACCACCCCAATGCTGCTGGTCACCACCCTCTGCGGGGCGACCTGTGGGGCGATCAGGGGGGTCCCTGCTCGCACCCGCCTTGGCTGGCCTGGGGCCTGCAGGTTGGGAGCAACTCCTGCTTTGAGCATCTGCCCCCTGGTGGTCAGTGTGCATCATAGCGACCAGTCGTTCCACCAGTCGTTGTTTACTATTCCTGGTATTCATTTCTATACGCCCAGGTCTCCCACACTGCCAGGTGCAGATAAACACCTAGCAAATACATACATAGATGCACATTCATTTCATATCTGACACCTTACCTGCTCCTGAGGACGGACAGCCACTGTATTAAAATCAGGCCACTTGTCCACCAGAGCCTTTAGCTTGAACGGGTTTCCCTCGTTCATGTGGAAGATGGTCCCATAAACCTGCAGCATCACAAGAAAGTGGGAGGGTCAATATACAGGGGTTGGTAAAAGTAGGTTTATGGTTGTTTATCTGAAAAAAATACAGGTTATGCTTATTACAATAGCTTTATTAACTGTTTCACGTACTCACAACTGTAAAACTACTTTTCCCACTCCTGTATTAGGAAAGAATGGTAAAGTAACTTATTTGATCAGGACAGGTTTATTTCTATGAAATCATGAAATTTTATCATTGAAAGGTCTCTAATGAGTATTTCTGCCAAGCAATTTTAAGTTTCAGTGTTTTGTCCCAATAAATGTATCTTTTAGAAATATATTCACAATGTAAAATATTCAGACTAATAAAATTTGTGAATAAAAATCATGAACTCTCCCATTGTAGAATTTAATAAACATTTAATGTAATGTATGTCAATTATACCTCAATTTTTAAAAAGGTAAAAAAATCTTTTAATAGATTTTCTACTATTCATGTACACACACAAGAAATTTTACAAACTGAAAAATTTCAGATAGATGTGATTTTAAAATGTTTTTCTCCATTGATTTAATACATTCTAGTCATATTTCTTTTCCAATAAATAAAAATAATTTTAATGACTTAAGAGCATTCTATGACATGGATGAACAAAACTATTTCTTAAACTTTTCTTTTTAAATATATTTTTAATAATTTCAGGGAGGAAGGGAGAGGTGGAGAGAGATAGAAACATCAATGATGAGAGAGAATCATTGATTGGCTGCCTCCTGCATGCCCCCCACTGGGGATCAAGCCCACAACCCAGGCAGGTGCCCTTGACCAGAATCAAACCAGGGACCCTTTAGCTTTAGGCCAAAGCTTTACCTACTAAGCCAAATTTACTATAGCTATTTCTTAAACTTTTAATTTATTCACATGAAGTAGCAAAGATAGTACAAAGAGGTTCCATAATATATCTCCCCTGCAAAAGAGGTGATGTGAACATGAGTGTAAATGAGATGGAGCATGAGCGAATTTCCATCACAAAATAGCTGAACATTAGAAGATCATTCTCTTCCCCACTTCTATCAAAAGAATACACAACCCTTTCTCTCCCTGAGGTTGTCTCACTCTCACCTTTAAGGACTCAGGAAGGCTCTTCCTCAAGGATTTTTCTAGCATCTGCAGCATCTGTGGACCCTGCAAGTGGAGCATCTTGGCAGGTATTTTAGCCTGGAGGGAGGATCAACAAACAGTCAGGATGAGAAAATAGGAATTAGATCCACACACCTTTACCTGAATCTTAGAAGTAACAGGTAAGATAAGTCTGCCCACTTCTCAAATAATGCCTTGGGGGGAGAGAAAGTAGAGTCACACTAGATTTATACCATTACTACAAAGGAGACACACCATAAAAGTTCGAATGAAACCACCACCAAGACACTAGAGTAGCAGGTTCTATGCTAATGTCCAGGACCTTCTTCTGTGCCCTCTACTGGTGTTACCCACACGGAAGGAAGAGGTTGGCAGAAAGCACTTGGTTCTCTTTTTGAAAATGTTCACTTCCCTTTCTTACACTGCCCTGAATTTTTATTTAATACACATTTATGTTAACAAATATGTTCTTTAAATATGCTAGTGCATCTTTGGGGATTAGGTTGCAGTCAGTGATGTCCCTAATGCCACCACTAACAAACTGTAGCCTTGGAAAAGTTACTTCCCTCTTGGTTCCATGGTTTACTCATGAATCCTAATGAAAACAGATTTTACCTAGAAAATTATTCTCTCCTTCCCATCTTGCAAGATGGAGGTTGAAGAAGCAGAGAAGCTGGATACTAAGGAAAAGAAACCTGGAGCCAAGAAGGCTGATGCTGGTGACAAGGTCAAGAAGGGCAACCCCAAGGTCGGTATGTGTAAGAAGAGAAGCCCCACAGAGGTGAAACCCTGTCCTGGTCAGAGGAATTGGCAGATATTCCTGGAAGGCTATGTATTCCTAAAGGCCATGCATAAGTGGAAGTATTCAGTAGCTAAATCCTGGATTGAAACGGAAGAGGAGAAAGTTCTTGCTGCTGTCACAAACCCAGTTGGTAGTGACAAGAAAGGTGGTGCCCAAGTGCTTACACTTTGCAAAATCCCTAGATACTACCCCACTGAAGATGTGCCTCCAAAGCTGTTGAACCACAACAAGAAGCCCTTTGGTCAGCATGTGAGAAAACTGTGGGCCAACATTATTCTGACTGTCCTTTCTGGGCACCACGGAGTCAAGAGAGTGGTTTTTCTGAAGCAGCTGTGCAGGGGCCTTAATGTCTGCAACTCTGTGCCTTAATCAAGTTCCTCTGCATAGAACATACCAGAAATTCATCATCACCATCTCTAGCAAGACCGATATCAGTGTTTAATTAGTTTTTTTTGTAAGAAATTTAGTACACCATTTTGTGAGCATAAAGCCCCCTGCACCGGTGAGAGCAAACACAGAGGGGAGGTGAAAATCCCCAAACATCTCACTGGTGCTTATTTCAGGAAGAAGGAGCAGTGCCAGCCCAGTCACCAGGAAGGTGAGCTCCTCAACACAGAGAAACAGAAATATGAGAGGACAGAGTAGCACAAGGTTGATAGAAAGCCATCGACTTGCAACTTTTGCCAAAAATCCAGGCTACCTCCCCTCTGTGTTTGTTCTCATCAACTGGCTTTATCCTCACAAACTGGTGTCTGAAATTTCTTACAAAAACCTAACTGAACACCTTGCTGGTTTAGAAATAAAAAGAAAAGCATAGTGATGGTTAAGTGAGTTAATACATATCAAGTGCATAGTAGAGTTTCTAGCATATAATAACTCAAAATTATTATTTTCATTACTGTTATTATTAATATCATTACTGGCAGCGAACCACACAGTATTTCAGCTCAGTCCATTGGGTTTTTGTTGTTGTTTGTTTTTTTGTTTATTTAAGAAATGCGGTGTAACTTTAACCTAGCTCAGAGTGTGAGTGTTTTCAGTGTGAATAGTGTCCAGAGAATAACACCAACACTTAACTGAGAGAGTTTGTGGAGATTAAATGAGTAATCCAGGCACTGGCACCAAGTGAATAAAAAAGCCTATGGGAATTTCTTATTAAGTGCCTGGCACAGAATAGAATTTATGTGTCATGATTATCGTCATTCCCTGACGGAAGCAGAGAAAAGATTGTTTGATGTACTCAGCCCTTTAGTGCTGAGGCACTCTGGCTTCCCAGACCTTAGGCCAGGACGTTGTTGGCTCCCTTCCCTTCCCTTCCCTTCCCTTCCCTTCCCTTCCCTTCCCTTCCCTTCCCTCTCCTCTCCTCCCCTCCCCTCCCCTCCC